CTAAGCAGTTTATGAAGAAATTTAAATGGCCACAGGCTTCCCAGACTTAGAGTGTAAGATCAGATAATGATATTAATTCTTACTGATCTCTGCTACAAAGTTATTTTACTATCCTTACCTCTTTGTTACATTAAAAAAGCATTTCCATAGGTTTTCTGATATTATTTGCAACAAGAAAAATACTTAATATTTAATTGTTACTTTAACATCAAATTCTCAGTTCAAACTTTCGCTAGAAATTGTGCTGGATTTCTTTTAAGCTAAGTAACTTAAAATCAAATTTTATCCAATTTTATGAATAAAACATATTTTCTAAGAGTACAGCAAATGATTCTAATAGCAGAAGCAGCATTTGTTTTCATTTCCACAGATATAAGCCTGACTGCTGGCTGGAGCCTTTGAGGAACAACTCTTGAAGGAAATGTGTATTCTCTCTTCCTTCTCGCCCCCTTCTCTCTCTCCCCTCTCCCTCCTTTCCTCTTTTTTCCCTCTCTTCCCTCCATCCCTCCCCTTTTCCCCAAGGCATTTTGATGGTTTTCTGTGTTAAGAACATAAGGTCTGAAGAAAATGTGCAGAAGATGAGCCTGATTTAAAATAGTACAGAAATACGTGACACCACAGTTCAAGGTTATTTAGTCAAAAACACTCTATTAGAGAGAGGGTGTTTTTCACACACATGGGAAAATAGACACATACAAAGAAGGGCAAGACAGGCGAACCTGAGCCTTGCAGAGCATGCCGAGACCTGCAGGGTCTTCAGACTGCAGCGCTCGCTGGAGCTCCTCCCTGAAGGGCAGCCTTCCAGCTTGTCAGGTACTGGGCTGGTGGGCTCACGGGAACGAGAGGGAGGCTTCAAGTGCGGTGTGTTTCAGGAAGCTGTGTGCATCTCTAACACTGGCCAAGGGGGCTCTTGATCAGTTTGGTGAGTCTGCTCTTCTGTAGCGCAGAACATCAAGAAGACCCCGGGGGATGACGGATCTCTTGGTCTGATTCGGTTTGCCCTCCCTTTCACATACCAGAACTTGAAGCACAGAGATGTAGACTCATTCTCAAACACAAACAGTAACAACAACGAGAAGAACAAAAACCCACCTGAAGTAGTGTTACCCCGTGATCTCCCCCACCCCCGGCGCTGTGGCACTTCTGCGTATTTACCCAGAATGTTTGAAGTTGGTGTGTTGAAGGGATGGCTGCATGCCATGTTTATTGCAGCATTTTGTACAAGTCAGGCTATGGAATCAACCCAAGTGTCCACCAGCCAGTTAACAGACACGTTTGGGAGTATCTGCACAATGGAATACCACCCAGACTTACTAAAGAGAGAAATCCTGTCACCTGTGACAACACTACCGGAAGTGAAGGAAGCTAGCCCAGGACACATGCCTCATTTCTCCTCACATGTGAGAGGACACAACTGAAGATCTACTGAACTTACAGGAGCAGAGAGGAGACTGGTGGTCACCATTGGGGTGGGGCTCAACTGGAGAGAGAATAATGAAAAGGTTCCACGTCTGAGAACAGACAGCGGAAGGTTGATAAGTTTTGTTCTCTTGTACATTGGTGACTGGAGCTCACAGTTATGCTAACAGAATAAAACAGAAGTGTTCTCAAAACAAGGACTTGATGTAATCACTCTACGTCATATTAAAATTACAGTGCACATTACTGTAACTTACCAATGTTGTAAAATCCTAAAAGACTTAAAAACAAAACTTGAAGCTTCGCCCAACCACATTGAAAATCATTGCTATAAGTGACAAGAAAGAGAGAGTCAGGTCCCACTGTCCTCGGCTCCTCCAGCATTCTCCCAACCTCTAGTCCGCAGAGGAGAAGTTAGGGGGTGGCATACAGCACTTACAGCTGCAAGCTCAGTTGGGAGGTGAAGCCACCACCTCACGTGTCCTCCGGAACAAGCTGGAGGTGGTTGTGGTAGCAGAAAGCCTAGGAGGGTGAGGCTGCCTGTGGTAACCTTCTGCCTGTGGTACACGCTCTGCCTGTGGTACACCCTCTGCCTGTGGTTCACGCTCTGCCTGTGGTACACCCTCTGTCTGTGGTACACACTCTGTCTATGGTACACCCTCTGTGGTATACCCTCTGTTTGTGGTACACCATCTGTGGTACACCCTCTGCCTGTGGTTCACCCTCTGCCTGTGGTGCACCCTCTGTCTGTGGTTCACACTCTGTCTGTGGTACGCCCTCTGTCTGTGGTACACCCTCTGTCTGTGGTACACCCTCTGTCTGTGGTACACCCTCTG